CCTCAGGCCCCGAAAATGACAAGACCGGCACTGCTGATGGGTATCGTTAATTTGAGATTATAGGGTGTTAATCCCTTAAGATTTGCTTAGCTTCATAGCTTTATACACCAATTTAGTATATATAGATGCAGATTTTAATGAGATTCAGAAGCTACTGTCCATGAAGGCCTGAAGTATTTTCCTTTTCGAAGTGATGTGACCACCTTATCATTCATAAAAGAAGACCTTGTTTCACCTTAGAAGATTTATTTCCATTCTTAGACATGGAAATTTGATTCTCTGGATCATCAGAAGAATATCTCAATGGCAGACCATACTTTGCCCTTATCAGATCATGATAAAATCTAGTGATGCTTTCCTCCGCTTGTTCTCCAACTCAATATTATTGTTGTAAGAGACGCTGAACACGCTCCCTTGTTGAGTTTTCTTTATGGCTATCCATCGGAATGGTCATAATCCATCCAACCAAAATTATGCAACTTCAATAGCGACATATAACATTTAATCCATGAGGAACTGCCCAATTCGAACCAAGCCCAGATTTTTTTTTTTTTTTAAAACCAGAGAAACAAATAAGGGAATTAACGACAAGAAAACAACGGAAGATCCCTTGAAAATAAAAGATTTAATCATCGAAAATTGCAAAGAACCCGATCCGAGTAATTGTTACAAGGAGAATAGAAAGGCATAGGAGGTGCATATTGACAACACTGAATAGGAGTAGTTGGTGCCGGTGGGCAGTTACCTTGCACCACCGGTGGTGGCAGAGTGTCGTGTGATTGGCATCTCGAAGGCGGTGGCGGTTGATGGTGGCAGGGATGTTGATAAATGGTACAGTTGTTACAACCACTTGGTGGCGATACTGGGCCATCTCCATAACTAGCATCATCTGGTTTTCCAGAATACAGAATTGAATTGAGCAACCAAACTGGGTAGGAGGAATTATGAAGGTGGGTTTGATAGTATTGGTAATAGGGAGAGGTTGAATCAATTGGGTGTTGCATTTTTCCTTGTCAAGTTCGAGATCGAAGGAATTTTTCTATCCTGAGGAAAAATAGAATTGCGTTTTGAGCAGAACCTGGAATCCATGCGTAAATTATTGTGGATAATTGTTTGAATTTCATGGGAAGGATGCAATGGAAGCGGGGGCAGTGGTCAGACCCATCGCCGCCATACATGTACTCGGATCAATGAGGGGTTTTTTCTGGATTTGTGTGTTTGGGGCTTTTAGTCGCGTTTCCCACAGACGGCGCCAATGATGATGTCAAAAATCGTACCTGGATAGACCCGAACTGGATGGAAAAACTTTTTGTGACCCGATCTTTAATACCTGAAACAAAGGCGTCGAGGTGTGCCCTCGTCGCCCCTCCGATGCTTAAGTCAGAAACAGAATCATGTGGAAAATTATATATCGAAATATTATGTAAAACAT